GGAAGGAAGGAAGGAAGGAAGGAAGGAAGGAAGGAAGGAAGGAAGGGGGGAAGGAAGGGGGGAAGGAAGGGGGGAAGGCAGGCGGGCTGGCTTTTTGGAGATGTCCTAATATCAAAAGCATGCCCCACTTTCCGCATTTTTTCAAACAGAAAGTACTGTATGTTGGGAAGATAATGTTGCAGAACAATAACACGCATTCTGGATTGGTTAGTTGGGAATGAATAAAACTAAGCCTGGGAACCAAGTCTTTCCAAGGTATTTTATTGGGGCACAGAGCAAAGTCCTAGGTGGATTCCCCCCACCCACCCCAGAAGCTTTTCTGGCAGTGAAGCAGAGTGGGAAGGGTTGTATGGAGAAAACCAGGCCAAAGTTTCCTATGCAAAGTTTTCATCGTCCTTTGAGCCCACAGCAGCACCACTTTCCAAAGGAAAAAAAACCCAGAAATATGCAAATAGTCCCCTTTTTTAGATGATGGATGTTTCCTTTCTTTGCAGCCCTTTCCATAAAACTTTTTTTCTGTCTTTCGTACCTTAAAATAGTACTGTGGGCAAACTCCATCAACTGGGAATAATAGGGATTTTAGGTGCACTTTCAGCTTTGAGATAATTGGCTTTGATTCTTTTGAATCAGAATCCAACGCCCACAGATGGGGGGATCTGATCTAGATACAAAGGGGCTGGCAACTAATTTGCTGGAGCCAATCAGAGAACGAGCGCACTGAATGACGTCAGTCAGGTTCGTTTATTTAATCGTGGAGCCCATTGAGAGTAAAGCAAAGCCTTCTCAGTTAAGTATGGCCTCTGCTCTGTACGGGCGAATATTTCGGCTCCTTTTGGAGGGACCGGGGGAACATGTGGCGTCACATGCATCACGACATCATCATGTAAATGATGCAATTCACCATATCTGTCCACCAACGTGCATGGCCGCCGCCGCCTCCTCCTCCTCCTCCTCCTCCTCCTCTTCGTAGCCTCTTCTAGATGGCCCCACGCGCTGTTCGTGGCTGCTGAGAAGGTCCATTCTTTGCCTGCCCTGAACCCCAGAGACTCGGGCCGGTCAATGAGAAGACGCCACTTGCCTGTTCTTCATCGGAAGGTCAAATCCTCTCCCGCTCTTTCAAGGTTTCAGCTGGAGACCCTCTCCACAGACCTGCGGAAGTTCATCGACGGCCCCAGTCACGGCATCGCCCTCCCTCCCGACTTGAAATCCGCCGTGGATGCTGTCTCGTACATCGCCGAACAGCTTCAGGAGCAGGAAGATTACGATGCCGTGAGTTGGGGGGAAGGGGCAAATCGGTTTGCAGAGCTTCTTGAGAGCGCCTGGGGAAAGAGCGATCCCTCGTTGTGCAGGTTGCTCGGGAATCCGCAGGGAGAGGGTCAAAAAACTCCGTGGCAGCCACAGCCAAGCAATCAGAGCCCTACCCTTTTCATGTGTTGCGGGCTTTGATTCGTGGTTATGGCCATCTTGCCTTTTTTGACCCCCTTCCTGTGGACACCCAGGGCAGTTTGCAGTAATCCACAGGGGTTGTGCAAGGACCTTGTCTCCCGCAAGGCGCAGGAGATCCTGCTGGGCAGTGCAAGGGGGACATCGTGCCCTTGGCCGTGCGCCAACCCAGAAGGGAGCTGAGCTGCTCCCTACCCCAAGCGTGCATGTGCGGTGGAGGGGGCCTTTCCACGGCCCCTCACGCCCCCATGGACGTCTCTCCTCTCTTCCCTTCTCCCAACTCCTCCAGCTGAAGGAAGACTGGGAATACGTTGCCTTCGTGGTGGATCGGCTGTTCTTCTGGACCTTCATCGTCTTCACCACCACCGGCACCCTCACCATCTTCCTGGACGCCAGCTTCCACCTGCCCCCGGAGCAGCCTTTCCTCTGAGGAGCCCCTCCTGCCAAGAAGGCGGCCCACCGGCCGGAGAAGAGGACCCCAAGGGAGATGGCCAGGCCCGCAGCAATCTTCATCCAGAGCAGCTTCCCCAACGTGGCACCCTCCAAACGGGTTGGACGGACTCCCATGTCCCCCCACCGGCAAGGGGCTGAGGATGATTGGAGTTGGACTCCAAGACAGCTGGAGGACCCCGCCTTAGGGAGGGCTGCTCCAGAGTCTTGTTACGTTTCACAGCCGAGACTCGGTTTGGAACAATTAAGCCTGGCGAGTTTTGCTCTCATCGTGCGTAGAGAGAGACCTAATCGGTGCCTCTGTCCTTCCTTGTGTCAGACGCTCTTACACTCCCAATTTCCTTCTGGTTTACTCACTGTGTCTTCCCCTACAAGCCCTTCTCCCAGTTTTGTGCTTTCCAGAAAGGTGAGGACCTGACCAGGATGTAACTAATGCTGGGTTTTTTTTCCATTGAAAATCAGACACTTCTTTAAAAATGCTACTTTTCTTATTTTAATGGGATTATAGCCTTTAATGGAACTATAGCCTGTAGAACGTGAATCTATCCTTTGTGGGCTCAGATTTCTTCCTCATTTGCTTCCAGTGACACGCAACGAACGGTTCACAACAAACATAACTCCATCCTGTTTTGTGACCCTCTTCTGTTTCCCCCAAATGTTAAAGAGTTTGGTGTTAGGAACCTTGTCGGAATGGGGGCGATAAGGGTTTTTGGGGGCTTCAAATATGCCTTCCCTCCCTTGCACAGAAGGAAAGGTTTTGTGGAAAGCATTGATTTTGGTTTCCAAGGGCTCAGGAGTGTGACGTCTCACGCTCCCCCTTGTCTGACTGAGCACCCTGAAGATGCCCTATGCAGAGCATGGTCAGAGGGAAAAGAGGGAGACCGAAGCCAGGGCGAAACACCAGGGTAGCCAGCGGTTGAAGCAGTGAGGTTCAAAGTCCTATCGAGATTAACCCGGTTAAATATTACTGGGAAAATATTGTGCTAAATCGGTTATAGAATAAACAGTACAAGATGCTTCTGTGAACACTTTTTCCTTTATAGACCTTAGTTCCAAGGATCCCCCAGGTTCCCCTCAGGCCAAAGGTCCCAGCACCCATGCTTCCCGGCCGTTTCCCGTCCTCCAGTTCCAGCTCCTAATCTCTCAGGGCACGTGGCGTGCGCTCAGAAGGCAATTCCCCCTTCTTCTTGCGCAGACCCGGACCGTGTGGAGTGCCAGAAGGGCGGGTGGGGTGGAGGGCTCAGTCCCAAAAGCCCCTCCCCACCCCCACCTGATGCTAGGCTTGGCTCTGGTCCGCCATTTTGCGGAGCCGGTCCTCGTAAAACCGGAGCAGATTCCAGCCTTCCTTGACCGTGAGGTTTTCTCCTCCCCGCCTCTCAAGGAAGGCCGTGTTGTTTGGGTTATGGAAGAAAACGTGCATACGAAGCTCGGAGCAGCCTTGCTGCCAGGCAGCCTGAAAGTGCGGGGGGGGGAGAAAAATCAGTATGCAAAAACTCAGTGCCCGCCCCATCTGGACATCAGCGATAACTGGGGCAAACATTGGGCAGAGGAGACATTTGGCCTCCCTCCCCCCGCAGTGCCATGGTAAGCCCTCTGAGGCCCAGTGGGTGAAATGGCACAGCACAATCCCCGGGGGGGTGGGGGGGCTCACCTTGGCTGCTTCGTTCAGCAGGGAATTCCCGATCCGCATTGCTGCAAGGAAGGGAGTCAGAAGAGAAGGGGTAAGTCAGGGGGGCCGGACCCCGTTCTCGCCCTCAGGAAGGCAGGCAGGTCCACAGCAGGACTTGGTGTCCCCCAGGAATGTGGGTCGGTAGCCCAGCAAAGGAAAGAAGCGCTTCCTTGCCTAATCTGGTGGGACCCCCGCCACGAGATAAGCCGGTGGCCGTGGCCTGGAGGAAAAGTCTGCAGGCGCCTGCAGA